TCCAAGGTTGTTGTTTATCATGGGATGTGACGTTCCCTCACACGTTAGCCGAAAGGTACATCAATTACACGGCTATGGAGCAAGGTTCCGCCGCGGTGAAGGCTGCTGATTTCAAAAATACTAAGTATAAACATTTAAACGACAATACGAGAGTTTTTGTTCCGATCTGTGTGGAGACATTTGGCCCAGTGGATAAACAGACACAATTATTTTTTGATAACATTGCTACTAAAATAGTTGAAAAATCTGGTGATAAAATGATAAAATTTATATAAAGCAAAATATATCGTTGTTGTTGCAAAAGTTTAATTCATTTTGTATTTTAGAGAACATTGCTAAGTGCCCTTCTGTGCGAGACCCTGTACACTAATATTGTCTGTTGAGCAGGGGCGAAATGATAGTTTTTATGGCTATTGTTTTTAACCAAGGGCTTGCACATACACACATACAAACATACATACATACATACATACATACAAACAAACAAACAAACAAACATACATACATACATTGGGTTGATGATGAACATAACATAACATCATACAACATAACAAAACATCTGTTTTCTATTTGTAACTGTTACACAGGTTGTGGTGGCTGTGATTTTAGTGGCTGTGGTAGTAATTAAAGCAGCAGCAGTTGAAGCAGCAGTCAGCAGTAGTAAGTGCAGTAGCTGTAGGATGAGCATGATTTTTCAATCATTGTTTGACATTGACGTACGTATCGACACGATTTATAGACACATTCATTTATTTACGACTCAAATATTTAATGAGATCATTAATTAAGGACAAAAATAGATTTAGAAATGCTTATGATGACGTCATTAATGATGAGGATGATGATGATAATGATGGTGATGATGATGATGACGATGACGATGATGATGATGGTGATGATGATGATGATGATCGTTACGATGACTGAGATGGGTACGATGACGACGACAGTATAAACAATAATAATAATAATAATAATAATATTACAATAACAATAACATAATAAAGTTGAACAGGCTAATAAATAAATAAGTTTGATGTAAAAATTCTATCATGGATTTATTTATTATTCTTCAATCTCGACCTGCTAAGTTTGATGAAAAGATCCATTATTATTATTATCATTATTATTATTATTACTCTTATTATTACTCTTGTTATTAACATTATTATTATTACTATTATTATTATTGTTATTGTTATTATAATCATCAGTTGGAGACTATTTTTAGATTTGAAAAAGTTCGCGAATGTCGTCGAAACGTGTAGAAAATAGTTGTCGTGCTTTCGGTATTAAATGCGGACACACACACACACACACAACACACACACACACACATACACACCCAAACACACACATACATACACATGCATGCATGCATTCATTCATCCATTCATATATACAAATTTTTGTGTGATTCTGTCTGGCTTATGTTTTGTCAGTCTTCATTCTCAATCCAAAGTTCGCTTAATGTGTATTATGTGTGTACGTGTGTGTGTGTATGCAGTGCTGTTTGTGTATGTATGTATGTTGCTTGACAGAGTGTCTAAATTCTTAAATAGCATTTAAGAAATATTTAACATACTTAATAAAATAACAATATTTAGACAGCGTTTAAACATCTTTTCGTGGTATTAACTATTTAAAAATTGAATTACTTTCGACATAAAAGTTGCTTCATCATTCATCTATTCTGCATTTTTAAAGTCAGCAAACATTGTTGGCGAGTTTCTGCAATTGTTGGTGTGTATGAAATATTAAAAATACATTATTTGTAACTCGCGATACCGTTTTATAAATGCCTAAACTTTAGTGCCAAATGAAAACTGCATGGTATTTCAAATATTTCTCAAGTACTTTTAACAGTACGTGATGTTTAAATGCCATGAAGATACTGAATTTTGAATAAGTATTCGCTCAACTAAAAACTCAACATACTGTACTATCAATTAACTATCCAATCAATTAACCAATCAATCAATCAACCAATCAACCAATCAATCAACCAACTAATCAATCAATAAACCAAGCAAGCAACCTACTAATCAGCCAACCAATCGACTAATCAATGAACCAAACGAGGTACGAATTATGAAAAAAAGAAAAAAAACCAAAATATTTATATTTTGAAGCGCAGACAAGCACTTAATCATACCTATCTACAAACAATTTCGAAATTTTAGTAAGGAAAGAAAAACACAACAGTTGCTTTTATTTCAAATAATTCAAAAATGAAAAATGATAGAAAATTAAAATTTTAAAAATGTCAATTTAAAAAAAAAATCAGATTTTAAACAAACAATTATACACTTAGTAGTTCTAGGAGAATAATTAACGTAATAACAACATTTAGTTAGGACAGTTCTTAGCATATCATAATGCCTAAATCAACATACCAAACAGTAATTATTTATACATGCATATATACAAAGTAAATCAAGAAATATCCAAAAATTATATAACCAAATTAAAAAAAAACTAGAAACCAGTCAACATCTAATAAATTAATAAATAAATAAATAGACATCATTAAAAAGATTGTTCAAAAAGGTAAAATTTAAGGCAACGACAAGAATAAAATGTAGTTCGTTTTGTTGGTGTGGGGCTGTGAAGCGAAAACAAACAAACACATCACAAAAAACTAGTAAGAAGTCGCAAGATTAGCAGTCAGTCACCTACCTACAAATAAATTACTCTCAGGGCCCTAGCTTACTTATAATCATTAACTGAACTCACCTACCTACAAATATGTATTTTTACGCTTTTGGAATTTTACATGTTTTAGGTATTTTATTTTACATATTTCAGCGTTTTTATTTTACTTGAAACTTTTTAACTAATGTTAAGCCCTAGCCTACCTACAGTTGTTCAACTCATCTCAATCCCTAACTTACCTATGAATTAAATTAAAGTCAGGTAAAGAAAATAGAAAGTTGAAGAGAAACATAACAACAACGACACCGAATGAATGGATGTTGTGTATGTGTGTGTTGTATTGATGTGTGTGTGTGTGTGTGTAAATGTGCGGGCGTGTCCTCTCCAGAAACTTCTTCACTCACAACGGACGAACCTCCATTGCACCGACCATCATCTGACACGATGGGACAAAAACAAATTTCCTTTCAATATTATCTTCAAATTGTCATCGGAACGGATCACCATGAGACCACCATCTGAAACTTGCTGACGCCCACCACAGCCCACCTCTCATCACTCTGTAGACATTTTTTATTAGCGTATTAGTAAATCAAGGAATAAATGAACGAACGAATAAATGATTTGAACGAACGAATAAATGATTTGAACGAACGAATAAATGATTAACTGAATGAGTAAATAGTTGGTTGAATGACTGAGTGAATGAATGAATGAATTAATCAATCAATGATTCAATTAATGAAAAGAATGAATCTACGATTCAATTAATGGAAGAATAATTTGAAAGATTGAGTGATAAAATGAACGAATAAATGAATGAGAAAAATAAAAAACGAAACTAAACCTTATTTCAAAAATCGTCGTTACTGTAATCCATTACTGTAGACCACAACCATCTGGTCGGCACACAAGATGTTATCCGAACTTCAGAGTGTCAGTCGAACAGCCAACGAGCTGATTCTTCCTACACCACCATCATGAGACCACCATCTGAAACGTGCTGACGCCCGCCACTGCCCACCTCTCATCATTCTGTAAACAAAATATTTTATTAGCTTAGTAGTAAATGAATGTTCGAACGAAGGAATAAACGAATAAATGATTAGTTGAATGATTAAGTGAATGAATGAATGAATTAATCAATCAATGAATCAATAAATCAACGAATGTATGTAATGAATAAATTAATTAATGCATAAATAATTTGAAAGATTGAGTGAGAAAATTAATGAATGAAAAAAAAACGAAACTAAACCTTCTGAGTGTCAGTCGAACAGCCACCATCATCATACGTAAATCGTCATGAAACCACCATCTGAAACGTACTGACTCCCACCACTGCCCACCTCTCATCATTCTGTAGACAAATTTTTTTATTAGCGTAGTAGTAAATAAATTTAGAATCTTGGAAGCAAAAAATTATAAAATGAAAATAATGGCAAATAAATAATATTTAAAAAAAATAAAGAGTCAAATGTAAAAAAAACTTACGGTCGTCCATTCGACAAAGGCAGAATGTTGAATGCGGTCCGGTTCCTACGTTGTCCTCCAAAACTGATGCCAGTCCTCCTCGAGATTGTTGTTGAAAAACAGCCCGTGTTGATGGAGAAAGATAGAGAAAGAGTAGATTCTCATCAGAAAGCTTAGCGGTGCTTGCATCTCAAATTGCTTACTTAATACAAATAATCCTATCTACCTATTCAATTACCTTAACTAATCTATATTAAATTATTAATGGTACGATAGTCGAAAGTCCCCCTTCATTCTCCCTCCTTGCACAAAGGTTCACCGACAGCCAGGGCACCGGATAGTAAACCATTGCCGTGCGGATAGTAGACTATTGCCGTGCGGATAGTAAACCATTTGCCGTCCGGAAGCCGTGCGGGTAGTAGACTATGGCCGTGCCGCATAGTAAATCATTACCGTGCAGATAGTAAACCATTGCCGTCCGGATAGTAAACCATTGCCGGTTCACCACTGGCCACCAAGGCTTACCTCTGGCAAGGGACTTTGAAATCCAGAGTCTATCGGCTATCGTACCCCCAACTTACCTATTCATTACAATTAAGCCCTAGCTTACCTAAAAATTACAAAACTCAAGAGCCCAATTCATTGGCCAATCGGCACCCACCCCACCACCTACGTAATGCCTTGGGCTCCAACTTAGTAATAATAATATAAAATTTAAACCCTAAATCTATTAATGAGTATGTGTTACAACGTATCCTTAACTTACCTATTCATTACATTAGGGCCCTAGCTTACCTAAAATTACAAAACTCAAGAGCCCAATTCATTGGCCTTTCGGCACCCACCCCACCACCTACGTAATGCCTTGGGCTCCAACATAATAATAATAATGTAAAACTTATAATTAACCTACCTATCGATAAACTTACAGCGTTTTATTTTACATTACAAGATTGTTCCTAGAATTACATTATTGCCCTTAACTACCTATGAAATTATATTACTCTCAGCCTTAGTAATAATAAATTGGAATGTGTAATGAAAATAAAATTACGCTCAAATACTAACATATGTGTTTATGTATATATTTGTGTGTGTGTGTGGGATACGCTGATGCGTGTAATGTGGGTGCAAGAAAAAATAGAAGCGATAAACTTACGCGCCTACCTATTCAACTACATTAGTGTTGGATGCTTCCTATCTATCCTATCTACAATTAAAATTATGCCTATCTAACCTACCTATATAGCTACTTAATGTAATTGTGTGTGTATATGTGCGTGTGAGCATTCTTACTTAATGTTAAATTACAGAGAAAACAGAGAAAAAAGAATAAAACGTATCCCAGCCAGGCGTGTATTCTTTGCCACTGAATGAATGAATGTAGCCTGACATCTTCCCTGATGAACTCCTCTGGAAGCTTTAACCTGAATAAAATGAATAAATTGAAAAAATCTTTATTTATTTAATTAATTTCAATAAAAATAGAGAAACGAGCTGCGGTAAAGCTCGCCAACCGAAAATGCCAGCCAACTGGCAAAAAGGAATCGAAAAGAAACCGTAAAACGAACCTCAGCCAGGCGTGCATTCTTTGCCACTGAATGAACGAACGTAGCGTGACATCACAACCATTCTGATCTTCCACTATGAACTCCCCTGGAAGCTTCAACCTGAATGAATGAACCTGAATGAACCTGAATTAACCTAAATGAATGGAAAAATCTTATTTAATTAATTTAAATGAAAATAGTAAAACGCAAAGAAGCCGACCGGTCGGCAAAGAAAGGAACCTTAAAGAAAGGTATCTATATAGGATTTATGCTCTATATAACTCTATATAACTCTATATAACTCTATATAACTCTATATAACTCTATATAACTCTATATAACTCTATATAACTCTATATAACTCTATATAACTCTATATAACTCTATATAACTCTATATAACTCTATATAACTCTATATAACTCTATATAACTCTATATAACTCTATATAACTCTATATAACTCTATATAACTCTATATAACTCTATATAACTCTATATAACTCTATATAACTCTATATAACTCTATATAACTCTATATAACTCTATATAACTCTATATAACTCTATATAACTCTATATAACTCTATATAACTCTATATAACTCTATATAACTCTATATAACTCTATATAACTCTATATAACTCTATATAACTCTATATAACTCTATATAACTCTATATAACTCTATATAACTCTATATAACTCTATATAACTCTATATAACTCTATATAACTCTATATAACTCTATATAACTCTATATAACTCTATATAACTCTATATAACTCTATATAACTCTATATAACTCTATATAACTCTATATAACTCTATATAACTCTATATAACCAAGCATACTACCACATTCAATCAATAAAAATCTCACTAAAACCAGGAACCACCGCGTACCTGTTATATGTATGGTGTGAAACAAAACAAAAAAAAACACAAAACAAAAAACACACCACCAAGTAGAGTAAAAGAATAGAAGTCCCTAACCTACCTATGTAACTAAATAACCTTATGCCCTAGCCTACCTATATAATAAATTAATCTCAATCTCACCTACCTACGTTTCATTAACTTAACTCAAAACTCATGAAGAAAGAGAAAAAGGAGTAAAAAAGAACATAAAATACTACCACACAAACAAACATGATGTATGTATGTATGAGCAACCGCTAAAGAACCCACCTAAAATATAAAAAAAATACAACATACAATCACACAAACCACAGGCATGCAAACTCTATATAACTCTATATAACTCTATATAATAAAATAAATAAAAATAAAAAAATAAAATAAATGAGATCAGGCAGACTACTTCATGCGAGGCAGAATGCCTGATCTGATTTTCAAGTTTTCTCAGCTCCTATTTATACTCGTTTCAACCATACACTTTCATCATTTCAATCATTCACATCAGTAAAAAACTTATTTAATGTATGTATTACAGTATTATACAGTCTTAACCACAATGCCAACAGTACTAAATTGACGTCATCGAACGAACGCCTTCGAAATTTTCTGATTGGCTGGTTGAATTTGCTATATTGCTTTTTATATAAAACATATAATCTTATTAATTATTTGTATACATGGACTCTAGTTACTTTATATATATATATATATATATATATATATATATATATATATATATATATATATAAATTCATTATAATTGCAACAGTAATCAATGCTACATATGTACGCCACAGTTCAAAATTTTCGGGGAGAATTCAAAATAGTTTGAGATCACACCTTGCTTAACATCCGATTCCAAGCCGAGCCGAGCTAAGCTGAGCCAATATGCATAGATTTATAAGCGCTTTTATATTAAATTATGCTCGCTTTTTTTATATAGTATATAAATTCCTTATAAACGCAACAGTCGTAATCAGTGCTACATATGTGCGCAAATTTTTCTGGGAGAATTCCAAATAGTTTAAGACCACACCTGGTTGAATCTGCTATATTGCTTTTTTATATAAACATATAATCATATTAATTATTTGTATACGTGGATTCTAGTCACTTCGAGGAGAATTCCAAATAGTTTGAGACCGCACCTTGCTTAACATCCGATTCCAAGCCGAGCCAAGCTAAGCCAAGCTGAGCCAATATGCTTAGATTTATAAGCGCTTTTATATTAAAATTTTGCTCGCTTTATATATATATATATATATATATATATATATATATTATATAAATTTATTGTAAAAACAACAGTAATCAGTGCTACATATGTACGCACACAGTTCAAATTTTTCGGAGAGAATTCAAAATAGTTTGTGGCCATCCTAATTGAACTGAGTCAATTGAATATAGGTAAGTTAGGAACTGAGCTGAAACAATTGAACATATGTAATGTAAGTTAAAACTAAACTGAATGTGTGTGTGTGTGTGTGTGTATGTGTGTGTGTGTGTGTGCGGTGTGTGTGTGTGTGTGGTTTTATTTTTAATTCTTGATACATATTCATATTTTTTCACAGCTGATTTATCTGTGGTTACGAGTCGATAATAAGGGTGTTTTTTTTGTGTTAGTTTCAGAACAAAAAATGAATCAAAGTGACGGTTTTGCGACTGAATCTTCGTTAAAGTAAACTTATTTGATATTAATTTATTTTTTTTTTACCAATTTTTGTGTTTTGAGGAGTATATAAAATTGATTAATTACCAACTATTTGTTATCATTTTGTAATATTAGTAAATTAGTTATTAGTTTCATCCAAGTTTCATTTCAAGAAATATTATTCCCCCCCGAGCCACAAAATTCTCTTGTTTGGTGTCATTTTAATATTTTTTTTATAGGGTAATAACTACATGCATATCATTAATTGAATTAATAATTAATTAGATTAATTATTAATTAATAATGATACAATACATATTTTTTGAACTTTTCATATTTCCCCAATCTGAAAGCTATTATAAAATAAATACTAAAATGACCTAACTAAATAATAAATTTACTAATTTTAAAATCACAAAATTGACCAAGCAGCACGGCTGTTGTCTACACATTTAAAGAAACATGTCGGCTGTACAAGAAAAAGTTGAAAAGATTAAAACACCTCCATCTTAACAGGCTACAACAAATTCGGTTTGATCTTGATCTTAAATTAGGGAGAGATAAAAAATGGCAGTCATCGATGTCGAACAATAAGTCTACTGAGCTACAACATCAACATGTTAACAGTGGACTGAAACTAAAAGTGAAGCTAGATTCACAAACGTCACCATCATTTTTATCAATAAATTCTAGAAAGTTGCAAGAAAAACCAGGAATTGTAAATATTATTTGTGTCGTATGGTATCGTATGTATTGATTGTAGTTTGGATTGTATAATATTTGCATTGATGTGTGTAATATTTCATACATTCATTCTCCCATACATTCAGTTGTCTATTCACTAATATCATTATCATCAATTTTTCCATCACCATCGTCATCATCACTATCATCATCATCAGCGTAGGATACTTTTAAAAAGACTTTTAGAGCAAAACTTGTCGGGGAGCAACAACAACAATAATAACAACATTAATAACAACGACGACAATAAAAATAACAATATTAATAATATTAAGTTAAGCCAGCTGACGTGCCATTATAGAAAAGGTTTCCAATGCAATGAATTGTGCCTTCCTCTATCTATATACTGTTTGAAACGTATGTTGTTGTTGATGTTGCCGCTGGTTTTGTTGTTGATGTTGTTGTAGTTGATGTTTTTGTTGATGTTGTTGCTGATGTTGTTAATGCATGCTAAAAAATGATTTGTTCTTTCCCTAACCACAGATATCCTAAACGACGACAAGCAAGTCTTATACACTAAATGCTTGGGTGATAATACGTGTACTACACCTGTATTAGATATCAGTGTTGTTCAAGCCTGTCCCCAACATTTTAGGGATGTGCTAATTTCAGAGTTGTGTCAACCGACGGAGCTGCGTCGACCTCCTCATAACTGTCCCCAACAAAATAGGGATGTGCCAGTGTCAGGGTCCGGCAGTTCGCGCCATTTCAGTGATGTGCTTATTTCAAGGTCGTCTGGTTTAATCATCAAGGAAGATGGTGAGGCTGGTACAGGTGATATTAAGATGGAAATTTCCGAAGGTTTATAATAATTTTAATTATAGATGATAATAATAATATTATAATAATTTCAGTTGTATAAATTATTATTATTGTTGTTGTCGCTGTTATTGTTGTTGTTTAACTATGAATTAGTGAATTAATGTGACATTATACAAATCTTTTCAAAAATCATATACTGTGTATGTTGATGCTGAAATAATGAATAGTCTAACTAATGGATGAATGAATGAGTGAATGGATGAATGAATGAGTGAATGTATGAAAGAATGGATAAATAATTGATTGAATGAACGAATAAATGAATAAATTTATTAAATCTGTTCGTGTTGTTTAACTATTCAAATTTTTCAATGTTTCTATTGCTATAGAAAATGAAAAAGTACTAGATGCTGATGTCAAAGAGGAGAATAATTACATTGAAAACACATAATAATAATAATAATAATAATAATAATAATAATAATAATAATAATAATAATAATAAAATAATAACAATAATAACTATAACGATATTATTATTTTTGCCATTAGTACTATTAATTTTGTTGGGTTTCTTTCGATGTTTTATACCTGGTAGCACTGATTTTATGTAAGGTTTTGTTTTTGCTATTATTATCATTATTTTTATTATTTATTATTTATTTATTATTATTAATGTTTTTTTGTTAGTTTGTATTTGAGCAAGGCCGGCTTCTTTTAATTTCATTTCATTAGTTCATCTTGCCAGCCACTGATTACCGTTGAATTCCAGGGCAATGGTTGTTAAATGTTGTTAGCGGAGAGTTTATTTTGGCAGTAAATTCTCTCTCAATTCGTCTGTATATGTTTCTATCAACGATTAGTAACCCGTGCAAAATAAAGAAATACAAACATTTTAATTGTTTGTGTGTGTGTGTGTGTGTGTGTGTGTGTGTGTGTGTGTGTGTGTGTGTGTGTGTGTGTGTGTGTGTGTGTGAGAGAGATATAAATCACATAAATAAATGGCTATTGCTTCGTCGTGTGTTGTGTTTTCGGTTTTATTTCTTGGGATGGGTAGCATAAGCTTTGTCTATGTTCAGAGAACTTGTTTGTGCCGAGAAAGAGTATTTTTCTCGTTGATGATGTTGTTTCTCTTGATGTATGTGTGTTTGCGTTTGTGTGTTAATGTATGTGTTGTGTTTGTGTTAATGTATGTGTTGTGTGTGTGTAATGTATGTATGTATGTGTGTGTTAATGTATGTGTTGTGTGTGTGTATGTACGGCTATGTTTTGTATGTATACATGCTTAGATGAATGTACGTGTGTGTGTGTATATATGTGTGTTTGTCTGTGTGTGTCTTCATGTATGTGTGTTTATTTAACAACAAAGAACTTAAAATAAATAAATAACGAGGCAAAACATGAAGCAGTTGCCTGTCACAGAGTAATAAAAATCATTCGTCTTGCTCCCGCGCTGTCAATCTATCATCAAACCTTCGAATAACAATAATAATAACAATAATAATAACTCTGATTATGTTTATTATTTTTCTTTTATTCAAAATTATTGGAATTATTACCAAGAACCAGTGAGGGGTTTGCCTATAAAAAAATTATATCGGTGTGTCTATTTTTGTTTGTAAATATGCCTGAATGTATGTATCTACGTATGTATGTATGTATGTATGTATGAATATATATATATATATATATGTGTGTGTGTATTTATAGTTATTTATTTATTATTATTATTATTATGAACAACGAACTCAGCCTGTATAAAATGATTGACTCCAAATTAGGCATTCGCTCCCACCATGAAATAAGTCTGAATAATAATAATTATAAATAATAATAATAATTGATAATAATAATTGTTGTTATTATTATTGCTTATAAACCGATAATGATAAGATTCTATATTTTTATGATAGTTATTGTTATTATTATTCACTGTGATTAAGTCTATAATTGAGTAATATTATTATTATTATTATTACTGTTATTCAGTGCTTTTTTTGCAATATTTTGAGGTAAATAGGTATTTTAAAGTAATTTTAAAGTGTTTTTTAAAGTAATTTTGAAGTATTTTTGAAGTATTTTTGAAGTTATTTTGAAGTATTTTTAAAGTATTTTTACAATGAAAGGAATTTTCTGCAAGATGAAAATATTCAAACTTCTCGTTATCATTACTCTCGTTAGTTAATTAATTAATTAAAATTTATTATTATTAACTCACGCACACGCACGCACGCATACAAACAAACACACACACACGCACACACACAGGTAATATCAATTTTAGCCGGTAAATCACGATCAAACCCTCTTCCGTCCGATCAGCCAATAACAATCGGCGATGGCTCTGACGTCTCTGACGCATTATCCAATCACACAAACGAAGTAACAACGACTACTATAGCTAATACTAATTGCAATATTCTTAGTAATGATACTACTACTAGCAGTAATAGTAGTAGTAGTAGTCGCGTCAAAAGGGGTAGCGATGCCAGTAGTGATGACGACAACTTAACTGAACTCGGAAGTGAGAAGTTCCTAGTTTCAAATGCAGACGAAACTTTGAACTTAGTCTCTCTTAATAATGACGTCATCGTTCGTGGTGAAGCTGTCGCTACTACTACAGCTGCCACTGGTAGCAATAGTGCTGCTACTGGTAGTAGTAATGATGATAGTGGTAATGGTAGTAGTTCCGAAGAGATCGTGAGAGTTAAAAGAGACGTAAGACGAACTCATTCGAACGTGAATTTAAATAAGAAAGTGGATGATGACGACGATAGTGATGGCGAAAGTTATGATAATGATGGCGAAAGTTATGATAATGATGGCGTGAGTTATGATAATGATGGCGTGAGTTATGATAATGATGGTGTGAGTTATGATAATGATGCTGCCACTGATTCAGATGATGATGATGATGATGATGACGAGTATGGATTTGGTGGTAGCAGTAGTAGTAGTGGTGGTGGTAAATTTGGAAGCAGTAGTAACAAATATGGTAGTAGTAGTGGTAGTGGTAGTAGTAGTAGTAGTAGTAGTTATGGTCGTTATGGTAATGATGTAGCTACTGAATATAATGACGCCGAATACGATGATGATGGTAATAGTTTTAGTAGCAGTAGCAACAGTGGCTACCGATTTGGCGGCATTAGTAGTAGTAATAGTAAATTTGGTGGTGGTGGTGGTGATGGTAATAGCAGAAGCAGCAGCAGTGGTAGTAGTAGTAGTAGTAGGGGTAGTAGTAGTAGTAGTAGGGGTAGTAGTAGTAGTAGTAGTAGTAGTAGTAACTTCGATAGTACACAAATTAATAGTAAGTATAACATTGACGATGAGGATGACGATGCAATCCATTATGATGATGGTGGTCTCTCTGAAAATAAAAAAATTAATTATGGCGATTATGGTAGTAGTAGCAGTA